ATAAGTAACACAAAGCTGCAGGATATAGTCTTTGTGTATGCATGATTAAAAGTAAAATTGTGTGACTGTATGCATTTGATGGCTTGCGTTATGCTGGTTGAGGGCGGCAGTCGTATAGATCAGTTAGAGATGGAGTCTTCATCTTGCAGTCTTGATTCTGAGATCTGTTAAGACCAATAAATTGAGGCCTTGGTCTTGGTCTGGGTCTCTGAACATAGAGTCTTGGCTGTGGGTCTTAACCTGTGGTTACAGACAAGAATGTAGTCCATTTATATCATACTAAAGGTGATAATGACATTGTGGAACAATTTCACTTAATTTACTTGAATAAATAAATGCATTAAAAGAATATGATTGGTTTCTTCGATTAACTATGAAAAGTGTTGATTTCAACATTCCATTTAGAACTACTCCTTTTGTCAAAATGTCAACATTGTGTTTTTTTTGCAGAAGTATGAACAGCAATGAATTAATTTAGTTTTAGATGTGTAACCTACATAAATCATATGGCATGCAGTTGCCTTACACAAAAAAGCTATTTGACTGTAAATTAATATTTATTGAAAATTAATAATAACAGGATTTTTTTTGGGAATTATGATTTTTGCCACAATCATGCAAGTCTATAGTATTAAGTAAAAGGAACATACTGCTTCTTAAAAAACAAGTCTTGGAGCTAGGATTTGGTTTGGATCTTAACTCCAACTCTCATATATATAGACTGGTTTTAATCTCATGTCATTGTGATTTCTCTTTACATTTCATCTTGTGTGTCAATGTTTGTTCATAAATATAAATGCTGTTGTCTGTCATGTGATGAGTGTATAGGCATGAGTTATTTATGCTGGTGCTTTTGCAAACAGCATGAGTTGGTGTGCTGTGATGAATGTGTTTGCATATGAATTGACGTGCGTGTGATATTCTGTATGTGTGTCTGTTGTTATTCTTTAACGTGTGAGAGTGTCTCCCTGAGCATCCTGCTTGGCATTCAGTGCATCTGAGAGCTCGTTGATCACAGAGAGAAGTGTGTGTGCGTCTGTTCGGCGGGTAAACTCACAGCCCAAACTCACAGTGAGCTGCAGACATAGTCTGTCCCCAGCGCAAGCACACACAGCCGAGACGCTGCGTTACTGCTAACATCAGCACAGAGCACTAGACACTGTCTCCCTAAACACCACATTACTCACCCTGGTATGGTAAATCTCAGCAAAACACACCCCAACATCGTTCACTGACTGTGTATGTGTGCTAGCCGATTTCGAAGCCGCTTTGCTGTTGTTTGTCTCAGAATGGCAAACTGTTCCTGCAGTATGCAGTATGTATACTGTGCACAGTATGTAAATATGTGCCTGTAGGCTGTTGAATACCCGGGTGACCTGCTGCATTTGGCAAAATGTGCAGTGAGCAAGCAGAGCGCACAGCGTGAGATGCTGTATCCCACAATGCAATGCGCTCCACTTGACCTTCTATTTCCTGTGTGACAAATGAACCTGAGGCAATGTTAACTGAGATATTTAACCTCCGTCTTGACTCATCATTTTGTCATACTGTGAAAAGGTGTCATTCTTTACACAAAATGAGATTAAAAATGTAAAATAAACATTTGTTACTGAGATTAATATGACTGGATTCCACTCACTGTCGAGGTCATATCACAGCTATGTATCATACTACTGTTTGAAATGTTTATTGTTAGGTACTATATACTGTTTCACCTACTATTTTATATTATTTTAAACATTTAGGTCAGTAAGACTTTTATATAAAAAAGTAATACTTTTATTCAGCAAGGATGCATTACATTGATTAAGACAGACAAAAAAGGCATTTAAAATGTTATTTCTATTTCAAATAAATTCTGTTCTTTTGATCTTTCTGTTCATCAAAGTATCCTGAAAAAAATGTATGACCGTTTCCACATAAATATTATGCTGTTTTCAACAATGATAATAATAAAAATAAGAAGAAGGATCATGTGACACCGAAGACTGGATTAATGGCTGCTGAAAAATCAGTTATGCCATTACAGGTATACATTATTAAAATATATTCAAATAGAAAACAGTTATTTTAAATTGTAATAATGTTTCTCAATATTATGGGTTTACTGTATATTCATCAAATAAATGCAGCTTGGTTGAGCATAAAATATTTCTTTTTAAAGCACAAAAATGTTACCAACCCCAAACTTTTGAACTGTAGTATAGCTTTACTAATATTAATAATGCACCAATAAACATTTCAAATAGTACTGTTCTACTAAATAGTCCAGTTACCATCAAAAAAGTAAATATGATTATTTTTCATTTTATGTAAAAGCAAGATTTTTTTTGTCACACTTTAGTTTGGTGACCAATTCTCACTATTAACTAACTATTACCTACTAATTTTGCCTCAATAAACTCTTGATTGGCTGCTTATTAGTAGTAAGGTAGTTGTTAAGTTTGGTCATGCAGAATAAGGCATTAATATGTGCTTTATAAGTACTAATAAACTGCCAATATGCTTGTAATATGCATGCTAATAAGCAACTAGTTAATAGTGAGACTTGGTCCCTAAACTAAAATGTTACCTTCTTTTATGTAAACTTGGAAAATGCCTTTGGAAAAATGGTCCAATCAAATACTGACTAAAAGGTCATAGTAATTCCACGCAAACAGAACATTTTCATGCTGTGCACAGCATGCATACTGTACACTACAGATATCATGTGATATATGAGTATGTAGTACGTTATTCCAGGCACAGCCAGTGAGAGTGAATTTCCGGTTGTCTAAAAGCACCTTGAGACTTTTAACTGCTCTGTGATTTAGTGCTAAGTGATTTCTATCTCATCTCAATCAGTGCGATCCATAAACTCCTCCAGCGTGTTGTGCTGATGTAATATCCTGTGCCCCTGAGAGCCGGACTCCCTGGGAGAGATGGATGGAGCTCTTCGTATGTGGCTGTGAACAGTCTGCTCGGCAGTATGCTTATATCACGGCTCTGCAGACTCCCCACCTCTCAATCACCTTCACCCTGTCTGGATGTCGAACCCAAGGCCCTTTTCTCCTCTCTTTCACTCACATTTCTTTATGTCATTCTTCCTCTTTACCTATAGCCTTCATTTTTCCTCTTCACATGCTACCAAATCCCCTCAGCCTCTCGTCTCTGGTCTCCCCGGTAGTCTGGGTGGGTTCGGTAGCAATCCCTCTTTGCCTGCGTGCTGATAAGGCTTCACTGAGAGCTTTCAGATGCCACTGATTATGTCTTGTCTCTTTGTGCTCTGTTTTCTGGAGATCTCAGCATCTCTCTCACAGCATCCAGCATGGATGAATGAATGCCTTTTAAAGCTATAAGGCTCTTGAAAACACCCTTGTTGTTTTAAAAGGACATCGTGGTTTTCATCTAGAGAGGAAGCTTTAATTCTATCTTCCTTTTTTTCCTCACTGTTTATCCTCTTTCAGAGATTAGGATTGTGTGTGCGTCTGTGAGGAAGAGATTCTGTGGATTACTGCGTATCCAAGGTTTTTTCTTTTCATTTTTTTCAATGACGTCTCTGCATCAGTAAAATGTTTAGAGTGTCAGTGAATAGGTTTGATGCCTCAGATCAGGGGTGTCTAAACGTGCTCCTGGAGGGTTTCCTTCTTGCAAAGTTCAGCTCCAACACACCTGCTGGGATGTTTCTAGTAATCATGAAAACCTTGATTAGCTGCCTCTGATTAGAGTTGCAATATTCTTTTATAATGTTTACACAAAGAGCTTAGTAACTAACTTAGTCTGTACTTAATTAAGTTGCACCTATAGATTTTTAGGCAGAACCTCTTGCTCACTAAGGCTGCATTTATTTGATTGGAAATACATTAGTATTGTAAAATATTATTGCAATTTTAAAATGTAATTTATTTCTGTGATGGCAAAGCTGAATTTTCAGCATCATTACTCTAGTCTTCAGTGTCACATGATCCTTCAGAAATCTTTCTAATATGCTGATTTGATGCTCAAGAAACATTTCTTAATATTATCAATATTTATGTAATATTATTTTGTGGAAACCCTAATACATTTTTTTTTAGGATTCTTTGATGAATAGAAAGTTCAAAAGAATAGCATTTATTTGATAGATTTCTAACATTATAAATGTCTTTACAATTGTGTTTGATCAGTTTCATCCTTTTTGAATAAAATTTAAAAAATAAATAATAAAATAATAATAATAATAATAATAACAATTCTCACTGATCCCAAACTTTTGAATGGTAGTGTATTTTTAATTCACATAATTTTCAACTTCTCACTGAAATATGATAAATAAATAATAATAAAATTATTATATTTAAATATAAGATATTATAGTCTAAACAGTATATGCAGATAATTAAATAATATATATTCTGGAGCTGGAGCTCAGTGGCAGTGGCAATAGATAAACACTTAAAACAAACTGGAAAATTTGACATTTATTTATTTTAATTGACATTTTTGTGACACAGGAAAATGTGTAGTTCAGACCAATTTCATGCTTGAGAGCCACTTAGAAATGTTTGCATCATATGACCCCTTTAAAATGTAAACGAGCGTAAATGTCAAAATCATTGTAAATGTCTGAAGGATTGAAGTCTGTCACACAAAACACAATCTCATTGATGTAGTCCAGTTGTCTGCCATTTTGGTCCAACCCTTATTTCTGGACTGTGGCTTTTTTTAAATATTTAGTTTATACTTAGTTAGGACTAAGTTTAATGGTGCAAAAAAAGTTACAAAAGTTGTCACTGGGGCAGTACCCTTTCAAAAGGTACCCCTTTGTACCTTATTAACCCCTAAAGAATGCATATTAGTACCTTTCGCGTATATATTAGTACTGAAAGTATACATAGAACCTAAATGATACATATTAGTAACTTTTGAAAGGGTACAGCCCCAGTGACAACATTTGTACCATTTTTATGAGAATTAGTGGACACCCCTTCATACTCTGTCATCACTCTTCCATTCATTTCTTTATTTTTCTTATATTTCAGAGGCTTTTGACATGGTGCTCCGTCTGGGTCATAATTCCACTCTGACGCTGTTACGGGAGGAGTTTCCCAATTTGGGGGCCGGAGCCAGTGGAGCCGTCACACAGTTATTCCTGGAAATGTCCCTCTACATCCTGGGCTCTGATGCTAACGTAAACGACATGGTCTCAACCTTCTTCTCCCGACTTTTTCCTTTCACCTACCAGCGTCTCCTTGGCAACGGGGCAGTGACAAGCATCTCGGAGGAATGCCTCCGTGGGGCCTGGAGTGGAACCTCTGCATTCGGATCGTTTCCCAAGATGATGATGACCCGGCTGTCTCGCTCGCTCCTGGCCACTCGGGTCTTCCTGCAAGCGCTGAACCTGGGCATCGAAGTGGTCAACACCACCCAGCACCTGCGTGCGGGCAGGGACTGCGGCCGCTCGCTGCTGAAGCTCTGGTACTGCCCGCACTGTCAAGGCCTGCTGGAGGCCCGGCCGTGCCGCTCACTGTGTGTCAGCACCATGGGGGCGTGTCTGGGGGGAGCG